AGCAACAGCAGCAACAACAACACCAACAGCAACAGCAGCAGCAACAACAACAACACCAACAACAACAACAACAACAACAACAACAACAACAACAACAACAACAACAACAACAACAACAGCAACAACAACTGCAAACATCATGACGGTAAACCCTTGGATAGGCCAAGACCCTTAACGCAAAAGCGGGCTTCAATCCAAGGGGCAGGAGCCGGCGTGGGGGCCGGTAGCGGCTTTGGCTGCTCCTGCGGCTCCGATGGTGTGGGCTGCCCCTCCAACCCTCGCCTTACTCCACCCTGCACCTTTTGTCGAGGGGTGGCAGGGTGAAGGCATGGAGGGAGTGAAAGCTCTGTTAGATATACAAGCTAAGCAGCACCTTTAAACTACCTCTGCGCCTCCGGGGGCTTGGCCACCCTCCACTTATTTAAAGAACTTCACCGCAACGATTCAGGCCCCGACATTAGCCGTCCAAAGGGGCTTTCTAATCCCACGAACACAACTTTATGCGACCTGTTTAATCTGCGCTTGAAAGTTCACATGTACTTATGTACCAAAGTAGAAGTCTTAGAAGCACGTATGTAAGTTGCAGACAGCGATAATGATAACCTCAAGTAGGCTTCGTTTAATTCGGGTGTTAGTAACACATGCACCCGAAACCCCGAAACCTAACTACAACCCGACTAGCAGGTAATTACCCGGGTACGTCTCAGTAGGGTAGGGTCGAATCCAAGAGTTCGTGAATTGCCGCGGCTGGGGGCTAGGGAGGTAGCAATGCACCGCAAACCTACAGCTCTAAACCCAACCCTAACCCTAAACCCTTGGAGCAAATGGGTGGTTCTCTAAATTAGGGTCCCTTTTTAGGTCCCCAAAATAGTACGGCACCCTTATAAAAAGGACCCAATAAGCGACCCTAATTTAGAAAACTACCCAAATAAACCCCGAAAGCCTAGGACGCCTAAAACCCGAGGCTCGATGCTCCTGAGGCTGCACGGCAGCCGGAGTCCTGTAGCTGTCAGCATGGAGAGTGGGCATTTTGCCTTTTAAAGGGTTTCGGGTTTAGGGATTAGGGTATAGGATTCTTAGGTTGAGGGCTGGAGGGCTTTTGCTCCAAACCCGGCCTCAACTGATGAGGGCTTCCAGGATTAAGGGCTTCAGAGGGAGTACCTTAACCTACCAAACCTAACTTTTTGTCGGGCCCCTTTGAATTCTATATTAGATTCATAAGAAGAACCTACCAACAAAGTAGGTTATGGTAGGTTAGGGTAAGAGTCAATTCAAGCAAGCCCCTCTGCATTGAAGCCAAGCAGCGGCGACGGTTGCTGCGGCTGAGGCTGCTGAGATTGCTGCGTCTGCGCAGGCGCCTGCGTCGCTGATGCCTTGTTGCGAGTTCGAGTTGCATCTGCTTCTGGCCCAAAACGTTCCCTCGTCCTAGCATCGTCTGTTGAGGATTTTCCCTCCCGTCTGTTGAGGATAGCTCAAGCAAAAGTGCAAGTTGAAACTCGGATCAAGCCTAAAACCTGGAACAAGCTCACCCCCAAGCCCGAAACCAACATCCCTGAGATAGAGCCGAAACTAAACTTTAATCACTAACCGTATCATATGGCCTGCCTACATGGCAAACCCACTAAAACAGAGACCACAGCTAGTAGGAGACTAACCATAAACCATGTCAGCCCTTAAAGACAGTTGTTAAAGAAGGAGAAAGAAGACGGAAACTGGCCCTAAGCCCTGTTAACCCGTCAACAAACAACACTTGAATTCAAAAGGAAGCTGCGAGCGAGCCCTAAACCTAGAAAAGGGACACTGCTTTCAATGAATAAAACAACGAAGCTTCAAGCTAACCCTAAATTGAAAAAGACAAACGGTCTTTTCTAACCCTTAAACCCCAAACCCGAAAAGAGACACAGGGTCTTGGATCAACTGGGTTGTCGTTTTTGGGCCCTGAAAAGCATTTCTAAATCGGTACCTCCTAGGAAGCATAGGGAAACTTTAAAGACTCTGCTGATCAGCTGGGAAGAGACCCTATACCCTAAACCCATTAATGTAGGGGCCTTAAGAACAATTTCAATGGGGTTTGGGTGTTCCTTATTGCAATAATTATAATAAGTATATTATACACCAAAACCCTATTCGAATTATTAAGGCCCCTATATTAAACCCTTATAGTAACCCTTATAGAACCCTCTTACGGAATCCTTGAAGGAACACTAAATGTATAGTACAATATACCCCAAACCCTATTCTTATTATTAAGGCCCTTACACCCTAAACCCCTGTAGTAGCCTTTATAGAACCCTTAAAGATACCCTTTAAAGAGGACATAGTAACCCTTATAGAGCCCTTTTAAGGAACCCTTTAAAGAGGATATAGTAACCCTTTATAGAGCCCTTTTAAGGAACCCTTTAAAGAGGATATAGTACTTACAAGACACCTTGCCCCACTAATCTATGGAACCATTTCGCCAACTCGGCGGCCAAATATCAAGCCAAAAAATCCCGAAACCATATTCCCGAAATCCCAAGCCCAAATCCCAAGCCAAAAAATCCCGAAACCATATTCCCGAGATCCCAAGCCCAAATCCCAAGCCAAAAAAGATAGAAATGCCCGAAGTTGTGAA